CCTCAGCGTGAAGAACCTTGTTCTTAGCGTGAGGAACCTTGTCCTGGGCGTGAAAAACATTGTCCTCAGCTTGAGGAACCTTGTTCTCAGTTGTGAGCCTTGTCCTCAGCGTGAGAACTTGTCCAGCGGAGAACCTTGTCCTCAGCGAACCTTGTCCTAGCGTGAGGAACTTGTCTCAGCGTGAGAACCTTGTCCTCAGCTGAGGAACCTTGTCCTCAGCGTGAGGAATCTTGTTCTCAGCGTGAAGAACCTTGTCCTCAGCGTGAAGAACCTTGTCCTCAGCGTGAGGAACCTTGTCCTCAGCGTGAAGAACCTTGTCCTCAGCCTGAGGAACCTTGTCCTGAGCGTGAGGAACGTTGTTCTCAGCGTGAGGAACCTTGTCCTCAGCGTGAGGAACCTTGTCCTCAGCGTGAGGAATCTTGTTCTCAGCGTGAAGAACCTTGTCCTCAGCGTGAAGAACCTTGTCCTCAGCGTGAGGAACCTTGTCCTCAGCGTGAAGAACCTTGTCCTCAGTCTGAGGAACCTTGTCCTGAGCGTGACGAACGTTGTTCTCAGCGTGAGGAACCTTGTCCTCAGCGTGAGGAGCCTTGTTCTCAGCGTGAGGAACCTTGTCCTCAGCGTGAGGAAACTTCTCCTCAGCGTGAGGAACCTTCTCCTCAGCGTGAGGAACCTTGTCCTCAGCATGAGGAACCTATCCTATTTGGATAGGAATGACTTGGTGCCCGATCGTCTTGAGATGCTGTGTGCTGAAATTACTCGCCCCTTTAGCAAGTCGCTTTTTGTCTGCACATGGTATAGGCCTCCGAAGTCAAACTTGAGCTTATTTAATGATTGTGATGTATTTTTTCAAAAATGCGAGTCTGAAAATAAGGAATTGATTATAATTGGTAATATTAACTGCGATGTTATGAAAACCTCACCAGATGCCCATACACGACAATTAAACTTTTTGTGTTCTCTTTATCAACTTGACCAATTAATTAATAAACCTACAAGAGAGACCAACACCTCGGCGACCTTGATTGATTGTCTGGTGTAATAGATCTGGGGATGTCTGACCAGAGTTTGATTTATGTGGTCAGGAAGTTCACCCTTCCAAAACTTAAACCTAATGTGAAAGAAGTTAAGGATTATAAACATTTTAATGCTGAATATTTTATTGGGGATTTAGCCAGAATGCCTTGGCATGTAATTAATCAATATAATAATAAAAGCATGTAAAGCAACAGGTCTTGATAAAATTCCTGCTAAAATTCTAAAATTATCTGCAAACATAATTGCACCCTCGTTGACATTCATCTTCAATCTGTCGCTGCAACAGGCGTATATATAGATGAATGGAAGCGTGCTCGTGTTATGCCAATATTTAAATCTGGGGATAAAAGACAATGTGAGAACTATCGGCCTATTTCAATTTTACCGGTGGTGAGTAAAGCCTTTGAGAAGGAAGTTTTCCGTCAAGTATATAGATACTTGTCTGAAAGCTCTCTTTTGTCAAAGTTTCAATCTGGATTTCGTCCAAAGCATTCAACTGTAACTGCCCTCATCCAAATGTGTGATGAGTGGCTAGAAAATATGGACAATGGAAAGTTAAATGGGGTTGTGTTCATAGATATCAAAAAGAATTTTTGGCGTAGAATTAAAATGGTTTGAGTCATATTTAACAAATAGAGAACAGCAATGTAATGTTAATGGAGAATTATCTAGTAATAAAATTATCACCTGTGGAGTGCCCCAGGGATCTATACTGGGACCACTGTTGTTCCTATTATATATTAGTGATTTGCCCGATTGTTTGAAATCAACTAATTCATGCATGTACGCGGATGATACTCAAATCTTTTCATCTTCCTACGATGCAAATGAACTTGTTGTAAATTTAAATTCAGATCTTGCCCATGTCTGTAACTGGCTTAAAGAAAATAGGACTAAAACTAGGTGAAACCCTTAATTGGGATAGTCACATTGAAATGATATGCAAGAAGGCGAGCGCTGCTATTGGCGCTATGAAACGTATAAAGCCCTTTGTTCCAATGCATACCTTAGAATCGATTTATAAAAGTCTTGTGCAACCCTACTTTCATTATTGTTCCCCCCTTTGGGGCACTTGTGGTAAGTTGCTAAGAGACAAGTTGCAAAGATTTCAGTCTCGTGCAGCAAGAGTCCTAACGGGTGCTAATTATGATACTCGCTCAACTGATCTTCTCAACATGCTTTCTTGGGATACACTTGAAAATAGGCGCTCTGGTGCCAAGTCAGTATTAATGTATAAAATACTTAACGACCACACTGCGCCAGGTCTCCGGGGGTCATTCGTGAGAAGAGAAATAGATCAAACTAATTATCATCTTCGAAACACAGCAACTGATCTAACAATTCCTAAACCGAAACGAGAATTTCTTAAAAAAAGTTTTAAATATAACGGCGCTATGCTCTGGAATCAACTCCCAAACGAAGCAAAATTGGCCGAGTCGCCTCATTCGTTTAAATCAATTGTTGGACAGCGACATGCTTCCTAATTATTTGTATATAGTAACGTGTACAGTATGTGTGTACTAATATTTAGTTTAAATTTTCCTTTTAATGATTTCTAAGATCTAAACACGCCCCCCATGGAAACCAGCCTAGAGATGATGGGGCTAGCGTGTTCTTCTTTCTGTTAATTTTAAATAAAGTATTACCTACCTACCTACCTACCTACCTACCTTGTTCTCAGCGTGAAGAACCTTGCCCTCAGCGTGAGGAACCTTGTCCTCAGCGTGAGGAACCTCGTCCTCAGCGTGAAGAACCTTGTCCTCAGCGTGAGGAACATGTCCTCAGCGTAAGGAACCTTGTCCTCAGCGTGAGGAACCTTGTCCTCAGCGTGAGGAACCTTGTCCTCAGCGTGAGGAACCTTGTCCTCAGCATGAGGAACCTTGTTCTCACCGTGAGGATACTTTTCCTCAGCGTGAGGTACCTTGTCCTCAGCGTTAGGAACCTTGTCCTCAGCGTGAGGAACCTTGTCCTCAGCGTGAGGAATCTAGTCCTCAGCGTGAGGAACCTTGTCCTCAGCATGAGGAACCTTGTCCTCAGGAACCTTAGGAACCTTGTCCTCAGCGTGAGGTACCTTGTTCTCAGCGTGAGGAACCCTGTCCTCACCGTGACGAACCTTGTCCTCACCGTGAGGAACCTTGTCCTCAACGTGAGGAACCTTGTCTTCGGCGTGAGCGACCTTGTCCTCGGCCTGAGGAACCTTGTCCTCCGCGTCAAGAACCTTGTCCTCAGCGTGGGGAACCTTGTCTCAGCGTGACGAACCTTGTCCTCAGCGTGAAGAACCTTGTCCTCAGCGTGAAGAACTTGTCCTCAGCGTGAGGAACCTTGTCCTCGTGAGGAACCTTGTCTCGGGAACCTTGTCCTCACCGTGAAGGACCTAGTCATCAGCGTGAAGAACCTTGTCCTCAGCGTGAGGAACCTTGTCTTCAGCGTGAGGAACCTTGTCCTCAGCATGAGGAACCTTGTTCTCAGCGTGAGGAACCTTGTCCTTGGAGTGAGGTACCTTGTCCTCAGCGTGAGGAACGTTGTCCTCAGCATGAGGAACCTTGTCCTCCGCGTCAAGAACCTTGTCCTCAGCGTGCGGAACCTTGTCCTCAGCATGAGGAACCTTGTTCTCAGCGTGAGGAAACTTTTCCTCAGCGTCACGTACCTTGTCCTCAGCGTTAGGAACCTTGTCCTCATCGTGAGGAACCTTGTCCTCAGCGTGAGGAACCTTGTCCTCAGCGTGAGGAATCTTGTCCTCAACGTGAGGAACCTTGTCATCAGCGTGAGGAACCTTGTCCTCAGCATGAGGAACCTTGTTCTCAGCATGAAGAACCTTGTTTTCAGCGTGAAGAACCTTGTCCTCAGCGTGAGGAACCTTGTCCTCAGCGTGAGGAATCTTGTCCTCAGCGTGAAGAACCTTGTCCTCAGCGTGAAGAACCTTGTCCTCAGCGTGAGGAACCTTCTTCTGAGCGTGAAGAACCTTGTCCTCAGCCTGAGGAACCTTGTCCTGAGCGTGAGGAACATGTCCTCAGCGTGAGGAACCTTGTCCTCACCGTGAAGAACCTTGTTCTCAGCGTGAGGAACCTTGTCCTCAGCGTGAGGAACCTTGTCCTCAGCGTGAGGAACCTTGTCCTCACCGTGAAGGACCTAGTCCTCAGCGTGAGGAACCTTGTCCTCAGCGTGAGGAACCTTGTCCTCAGCGTGAGGAACCTTGTCCTCAGCGTGAAGAAC